CCAGCTCCTGCCCACCTAGCAGTTCGAAAGCACCCCTAAGTGCAAGTAGATAAATACCGTAGGAAGGGAAAGGAGAATGTTAGCCGCTTTGAGACTCCTTTCGGTAGTGATAAAGTGGGATATCAAATCCAAACTCTTCTTTATAACCCCGTACCTTCTTCCAGAAGGCAGAAGCTGAAAGAGATCATTTCCGGGGTGCGCACTATCCTGCACTATCTCTGCAGCTTTCTTATGACACCTGGAAGCATAGATTTGATCCAAGGTGGGAAGAGTGCACCCAGTTATTCTCTCCGCTGTCTTTACCACCCTGGACAGCATTGTTTTTCCCCTGACCGTGCAGCTCCCAAAGCACACACACAGACCATAAGTTGAGGTGGTGGTATGGACTGTTCCACTGAAAGTTTTAGGCGCAGGTCACATTTTTGAGCATTCCTCCATGCAAAAAGCAAAACCCTCCTTGCAAGTTGCAAAACAAGCATGCACTAAGCACAACAAGGAGGAAGCCTACTCCAATTCCATCCTTATTCTCGTCTTCTATTGATGGGGTGCTGTAATGGTTCTAGGGGTTGCTCGTGCTTAAGCCGGTGCTTATCTCCCCGGCTGGGTGCAAACACCTGGCTGGGTTGCCAAAGTGAACCTTTTCTGTCCAGACAGCCACTCACCCGTGGCTGACTCAATCGCTGGCAGAATCCGTCAGTGGGCGTTTCTTAAACTTCTTCCAGCAAAGAAGCTCTTTGACGCCTAGTCTCCTCCTACTCTCTCTGCGCGAAAGCCTTCTGCGCAAGGAGGGCGTGGGCAACGGAGGACCCCTACTCTCCCTGCTGTTCCCCGGCAAGGAGTCATGGGACTGCCTCGCCGCTTCCCCAACTGCCCCCCTTCTCCACTGGTGCTACGCTGATTCTCTTCCCCAGAAGATGGGCTGCTTCTCCCGACCCCTGGACGCTTTCTGGAATCCCTCTGGCTTTTGCTCTCTCCCTCCAGCACTGATGGCAGTTCCCTGACAGGTTTCTTTTACAGGCAAGAAGGTTTTAAAAAATGCAGTCTCCCAGCAGCAGCCCGAAGTGGAACAGTTCATTCCACCATCTAAGGTTTCTACCACCTCATTCCCACCTCATTGTGCTGCATGTATAGACCAGGCTTGAGACTCATCATTACACATACTTTTCTTGGGAAAATAAATAAGACATGTCCAAGCAGCCTTCTGACATCTCATTACATTACTGCTAGCTTTCACCATTACTGCTGAAAATGAGTCCCCATATCATCATCACTCCCCAAGTATACGTGTTTGGGTATTCAGCCTAAGTTCACACTCGAGGCCATTTTAATGGCTCAAGATCATAATGGATTTTAACAAGTTTACTGCAGCATTTGCAAGGCAGGGGGCAGTTCAGAGAGAAATTCTCTTTTTTCCTTTTCTTTTTCATAATGCAGCTTTCTGAATTAGAGACTGGAGTGTCATAACCACGGAATTGCTAAGGACTTGTCTTGCTGATTTCGCTGCATTTGTGACAATCCTTATAATGATTTGAGAGCTCTTTTAGAAACAAGAGCTGCCGTGTCCTTTGAGAAGATCCCAATTTATAGTTGGCCAACAACGGCAGCAGAAGATCATCATCATCAAAATGTAATCATGTCTTTTTGGGCTCCTTTCGCCCAGAAAAGAGCCTTTTAAGATGTACCGTGAAGTTGCTGTGCTCTGTTTACGCCATGTTTTTCAACTGCACATAAACAGTGAAGCAAACTGTAGCCCTTAAGTGCCAATGGAGAAGCAAGAAAGGGGACATTAGACAGATTTATGCACACAGAAGCAACCAGGCATTATAATCAAGCATTTTCTCCATAAACAAATCATATTATTTAAGGACATAGGTTTCTGGAACTGCTGCTGCTCTGGACCAGAACTCGAAAATAAACTCTGTTTGGTCTCCTTCTCTTTCATCTCTCCTCCCCCAAGAGAAACCAAGTGAGGCAGCTGGCAAACGGCTGGGTTGTGTCCCACCAGAATGATCCCATCAGGCACACTAACTCCTTGCCAGCCTTACCTTCTCCTTCACGGCACGAATGAATGGATTCTCTGCACAGTAATTCTACTCTATAGCATGGCCACTTTGATAAGATTAGGGCCATTTTAATATGAATAAAGGAGGCAGTTGCTCAGTAGGGTGTAATACGGAAACATCACTGTCAGGGGCTAACCAGTATGGAATGGGCATTCACAATCAGATTTCCACATCAACATGTTTGTGAGTGTGTGTACACACCATCTATTCTCTCACTACCCAACAAGTGGAGTGCACAGAATATATAGGTTTTTTAAAAAAATAATAATCATTTTTTCGATACAAACAACCGCAAAAGACACATACAACAAAAATATAATAACAATAATAACACAATTTGACAATTCAGATTTGAATACACTGATATACCTATGACTACACCTTTTTAAACAATATTTTCCCACCTCTCTCTCCTCCCTCTGCTTCCCACCACTATACGCCTTATCGCTTAAATATTCATCAAAACAGTTGCTGTATCTCAGCAAGTAAAGATCCGGACACCCCCAAAGTTGTTGAGCTATTTTTAGGAAAACTCCAAAATTCTTGAGTTTTTTTAAGACAAAGTCCACTTTTTTTTACGGAAATGCCCCAAACCCGCAATTTCTCTGTTTACTTGCTGAAGATCCAGGAATTCCCCCCAGATGTTGCTTCTGACTTTGAAATCCTGGTCATGCCCGGATGTATGGGAGCCCTAATATTACATATATAACTTTCTATTTGCAATCATCCAAAGAAGAAAGGTCAAACAAACATACATATTTTCAAGACAAATGGTGCAAAGCATCAAGTTAGGTAGGTTATATTTCTTAGCCTTCTTTGGTTCTGGAGATATCAGCAGTGGGAAGTGGATGTGCTGCGCTTTGCTGGCTCACTGTCCTTCCATAGCACATAGACAATGGAGCAAAGGAAAGATATTGCTTATGAACGACCCAGATTTTGTGACATGAAATTACAGCGCAAAATTCCCACTATTTTCCAAGCTGATGGGGTTGCAAATGGATTTTCCCCTGAAAACAATTAACACTGAAATGAGCGCTAAACTTCCACTCCTTTCCCTAGCTTTCCAGGAGTGGCTTTTACATTGTGTGAAAGATAAAACACAGAAATTAGCTGGTAAGGAAATGTCAGGAAAATGGAACAAAGTGCTCTCTGAACGCAGCCTGAGTTATCTAAAAAGTGGAATTCCTCTTACTCTCTTCAATCATGTATTTTTAAATAAAAAACCTGACAACTTGTCTCTTGTTCTTGCAAATTCTTCTTGCTGTTTCCTTTGTTATTGATACTGGGTCGATTGAGCCTTGTTTTAATTTGGATTTAATGAAATTAAATGACACCACACATATACATGTGGAGAGGCTTGATCTTTTCTTCATTCCACAGCAATCTAGGTATTCAGCCACCTAATGACTGCACAGAAAACATCATGTCAGCCATACATGGCCTTTGACTGTCATTCCGAAACTCATTTTCGCCACCAGGAAGATGAACTCTTATTAGTGTGAATATGGAATTCAAGTACTATTTGCAAGTTTTAAATGTACGTAGCACTTTACATTATGTGGCAGCATGGCACCAATTATAGAACAACTGTTACCTCAAAGATCTAATAGACAGGAGGCGAAGCTAAGAATTTGGATACCAGATGAAATGTTCCCCTTAAAAAATGCAAAAGGATTTGGTTATAGGCACCAGATATGATATCCTTCTCCACCATTTTTTAAATTACATTTTTATCCCTTCCTTCCTCTAGTTCAAGGTGGCATTCGTAATTCATTCATTTCCTATTTTATCCTCACAGAAATTCTGCATGGCAGGATAGGCTGAGAGATGGTGAAAGAGCAGGGATTTGAACCTCCGTCTCCCCAACACTTGAACCATTAAAAAAAATGGCATAATTTGAATACAGTGGTACCTCGGGTTACATACGCTTCAGGTTACATATGCCTCAGGTTACAGACTCCACTAACCCAGAAATATTACCTCAGGTTAAGAACTTTGCTTCAGGATGAGAACAGAAATCGTGTAGCAGTGGTGGGCGACAGCGGGAGGCCCCATTAGCTAAAGTAGTGCTTCAGGTTAAGAACAGTTTCAGGTTAAGAACGGACCTCCAGAACGAATTAAGTTCTTAACCTGAGGTACCACTGTGCAAATCATTCCCCAAGGCCACCAGTGATTTCTTATCTATCCCCTCTCCCTGGCTAACAAACATGGCCAAGTCCTTTCAGTTTGGTTGGCATCTCATTGCCTAATTTATTAAACGTATCTCAAATATTATGGGAAAAATACTACATTTACACACAGATTATATAATGCACAAATTGCTATTATTTATTCTATTTATTTACCACCTTTATCAGAAGATCCCAGGGCATTATACAACATTAAAAACACATTACAGAACATAATGATAAAAACATAATTAAAAAAAACCACATAATGACAGACAGCCTAATAATAAAATAGTCATCATAATAACAATCCTCTCCCCACACTTTTGCACGTCATAGACTACTTAATGGCTAAAGGCCTGGATAAAGAAGAATGTTTTTGCCTGGTGTTTAAAGACATATAATGATGGTGCCAGGCAAGCCTTTCTGGGGAGCACATTCCACAATTGGGGAGCCACCACAGAAAAGGCCCTCTTGCATGAGGGGAGGTGGGACGGCTGTTCTGTCCTATCCGTGCTGGCAGTGGCAGGATGGGTTTGCGACAAGGTGAACTGATAGCAAGGGTGAGGTGTCAGCACTGCCCTGATCTTGCTTCAGCCTCACCCCAACCCACCCACCAGTGGTGGGAGAGGGGTCCTTGTGCTCTGCCTCACCTCACATGCTAGTGCTGCTGCTGCTTACATATATAAGTGACAATACATGGAATGTAGAAAGCCACTTTATACTGAAACAAAATAGAAAAATTCCTTCCAGTGGCACCTTAGAGACCAACTATGTTTGTTATTGGTATGAGCTTTCATGTGCATGCACACTTCTTCAAATAAAAGTGTGCATGCACACGAAAGCTCATACTAATAACAAGCTTGTTGTTGTTGTTTATTCGTTCAGTCATATCCGACTCTTCGTGACCCCCTGGACCAGAGCACGCCAGGCACTCCTGTCTTCCACTGCCTCCTGCAGTTTGGTCAAACTCATGCTGGTAGCTTCGAGAACACTGTCCAACCATCTCGTCCTCTGTCATCCCCTTCTCCTTGTGCCCTCAATCTTTCCCAACATCAGGGTCTTTCCCAGGGAGTCTTCTCTTCTCACGAGGTGGCCAAAGTATTGGAGTCTCAGCTTCAGGATCTGTCCTTCCAGTGAGCACTCAGGGCTGATTTCCTTCAGAATGGAGAGGTTTGTTCTTCTTGCAGTCCATGGGACTCTTAAGAGTCTCCTCCACCTCCAGCTCCTCAAAAGCCATTCTTTGGCGATCAGCCTTCTTTATGGTCCAACTCTCATACATCACCATTGGGAAAACCATAGCTTTACCTATACTATACAATAACAAGCTTAGTTGGTCTCTAAGGTGCCACTGGAAGGATTTTTTAAATTTTGTTTCGACTACAGCAGACCAACACGGCTACCTACCTGTAACAAGAACTTTATGCTGAGTCAGACCACTGGTCCAACTAGTTCAGTATTATCTACCAGGGGTGCCAACTTGAATAAAATTTTGTGGGGGCCCAGGTAAGCCCTGCTGCACAAAATCGATCACACGACATGGCACACACACACACACACACACACTCTATTTGAATGGCAATGCCCATCAACATTGGGGCCCCCACCCCCCTCAAGTATTTTATTGGGACGGGCCGAAGGGACCTCGGCCCCTAGGAGTTGGCTCCTCTGTTATCTACACAGACAGCTGCTCTGCAAGATTTCAGGCACGGGTCTCTCCCATCACGATGTGCTCCCTTACGAAAAGGAAGAAGGTATAAGAGGAAATGAAGGAAAATGATGGGGGAAAGGTGGAGGAAGTTCAGTATAAATGCTGTATAAATAACTTATCAATTAAAATAATGCCTAATCATGCTTAGTAATGGTAATAATAATAATAATAATAATAATAATATTTATACCCTGCCCATCTGGCTCGGCCTCCCCAGGCACTCTGGGCAGCTCCCAAAAGAATATTAAAAACACAATAAAGCATCAAACACTAAAACTTCCCTAAGCAGGGCTGCCTTCAGATGTCTTTTAAAAGTCAGATAGTTGTTTATTTATTGACATCTTCAGATATCTATCTATCTTCAGATAGTTGTTTATTTCTTGGGAGGACGTTACATAGGGTGGGCGTCACTACCGAGAAGGCCCTCTGCCTGGTTCCCTGAAACCTCACTTCTCTCAGGGAGGGAACAGCCAGAAGGCCCTCGGAGCTGGACCTCAGTGTCCGGGATGAACAATGGGGGTGGAGATGCTCCTTCAGGTATACTGGGCCAAAGCCATTTAGGGCTTTAAAGGTCAGCACCAACACTTTGAGTTGTGCTTGGAAACATACTGGGAGCCAATGTAGGTCTTTCAGGACCGGTGTTATATGGTCTCGGTACCTTAATGGTGCCTTAGTACCCTGGTAATAATGATAAAAAGGTATCTCTTTAGCCTTCTCTGTGGCCCATTGTTTATTCTTGAACAGCTACTCCAGAAACAATGTCCGAGCCATTTCCACATAAAGCAGGCCTTAAGGTGAACCTCCTAACTTGGCAATATGGGATTCCTACTTAACAGTGCAAGTTTGGAAATGGAGAGTTGTGTTGTTAAAAATAAGAGCGGGAAGAAATAGCACAAGAAAGGGGCCCTGGGCTAACCTTCAGATGAATCTTTGATAGAATGACATAGACAATTATAACTTGGTACAGTTCTTTGAGCCATATGTTGGCATTTCACAGGAAATAATATCCCCGATAGATAATTCTATAAGATGGTAAAAGAAACAAAAACCAGAAGGCAGCATTCTTGATTGAATAAGACAGATGTTTTAGCCATTCCTTCAGGAGAAAATGGGGCAAAGGGCCTGACCCTGGTGTCACTGCAGTCAGTAGAGAAGATCCCATTGGAAGGAGTATGTTTTGGCTCAATTATAAGGTAGAAAATGCTTTTCATTGGTGCTGCCATCCACTTTCTTTTCTCTAGACCTTATGCTGCTTCTTGCTCTGCATATTGACTCCCCTATTCCACTCTGGCTAAACATGTTATCAAATCAGCAAACTAACAAATATTGTGTTCTTTTCTTATTTGAATAAAGGAGCCCCAGACGAAACCTTACTAGCAGAGTGTGGGTGTTTCCCAATTGAGCATTTATCCTGATTTGCTTGCAGGGAGGTTAGACGACACTGGCTATTTCATGAACAGTCATTCACACAATGTACAATGAAACAGGAAAAAAATGGCAAGGAATCAACATGTTACAAAGAGTTGAGATATAGTTTCGAGTTTCCACAAGTATACAGACAAATTAATTTAATTTAGGTATTTTGTTTGGCCTTTTGGCACAATGAATAAACAATGATTATGCTAAGGCGGAAAACTGTTATTCCTCTTTGCCAGTTGGACAGACTGGAAAGGAGAAGCGTTCATAAACTACAGTCCCACTGCCCACTGTCAAGAGGAATGCCATTAACATTAACCATCACTTCCCATAATGTATAAGGTAATTTAATTTATAGCCACAGATTAAATATAATCATGGGTGGCTAAACTCAGGAATATCCATATCACGTTATTTTCCAAGTGCAAATTGGCTGAGACTTACCTTTTGTATTTGATTATAACCCCTAGCTTCCTTTCAAAATGCTAAAACAATTGCCAAAGATATAGTTATCCACAGCAGTCACATATGACCTTTCTTTGAGTTTTTAAAATCTGGTCATATGGAAAAGATAATAAAATAGCACAATGATTCAGAAAAAGAAGCTGGCCTCTTATAGGTGCAGTCTGCATTCTTGCAATCTGCAACCCCACCTCACCCAATAAAATAATATTATTAACTACAGTACATTTTTAGAAGCACCAACAGGACTGGGAGGTCCACAAAGCCTCTTGACTGGTAACCATCTGTATTGTCACAATATTTGTGTGCAATGATGCTTCTAAAATGTTGGGCCCCACATCTTCAATTCTTGTCACTGAAGGCCAAACGAAACCCGATGTGAAACATATACCGTATTTTTCGCTCTATAAGATGCACCAGACCATAAGACGCACCTAGTTTTTGGAGGAGGAAAACAAGAAAAAAAAATATTCTGAATCTCAGAAGCCAGAACAGCAAGAGGGATTGCTATGCAGCGAAAGCAGCGATCCCTCTTGCTGTTCTGGCTTCTGGGATAGCTGCGCAGCCTGCATTTGCTCCATAAGACGCACACACATTTCCCGTTACTTTTTAGGAGGGAAAAAGTGAGTCTTATAGAGCAAAAAATATGGTAATTGGAAACAGTTTTGTTATAAATAAATAAATAAATCCACAAGTTTGGGGGGCAATTTTCTTTTGAGACTGCAGCACATAGGAAGAGAGGAAGAGAATCTAACAGAGTAATCCAAACTTGTAGCTGGTGAGGCTCTGAGGAACAGCAGAGCTACCGCTGCATTCATGTCCTGGCCATCCATGGTGGCAGCTGGGGGGCAGGCAGCCCAGGTCCTAAACCTGCCATGAGAGCAGCTTGAAGATCAGAAGACCCCAGGCCAGCTCATCCCTGCCCCACCCTCAGAATGCTCCATTTCTGCCTGTCCAGCAGGGAGGAGGGGACCCCCACATGTGTTATTCCATTGACACTGGACAGTGGATGGCTGGCTGAGCCAGCAGAAGTGGAAGAATGCCTCTGCTCAGTTTGAAACCCCCACAACTTGGTATAAAGTGGTGTGTGGGCTGAACCCTCAATCCTTTCCACTTCTGCTGTAGTCCCGATGAAAACCATACACCTGCTTGCTCTTATTTGCCCTAGGGGAAAAAACTCCATTTGACACCAACATTCAAATGAAGCTCAAGGCTGCTAAAAACGCCCCCAAACGCCACAGAAATGTTAAATACATAACATCCTATTCCAGCCCTGATCATTTATGTCTATCCAACAATCCCTGTACGTCAAGCAATCTTAAAAACATGGGGGTTGTTGCAAATGTGGTGTATTCTAAATATGTATTTGGTGGAAATTTAGGGTTGGACTGTTAGCTAATTTGCACCAACCAGCCAATTTCTGCCCAGAGGTTTGTTAGCATCTTTAAAATGCAGGAATGGTTTATCATGTCCAAATAGATTGCAAAGGCAGAAGGGAAAATTCTGTCCTTTGCTGAGGTTAATCACCTCATCTCTCACTTCCTGTTTCCTTCCAGCCTTTGGGAGCAGCTGCCTCCCAGCACCTCCCTCTGCAAATATTAGTAAACATGCTAGAAGACAATTCATGTTGTCATCTACCTAGGCACCCTAGGATTAATATGCAAATAAGGCAGCCGAAGAACAGGCCGCAGCAGCAGCGCTAATGCTCTAAGTGATCTTTCAGTGTAATTAGAATTTGTTTCATCACACTAATTTGACATGGCAAATTAGTGTAGCTAAGAGAAGGGTCTTTTTTTTGCAGAGCTGGGGTTCCAGTGTGTACACAGAAACTTGCCAGCAAGTCCACCTGCTCGGGGGAGTTGTGTAACATGTTCGGGAAGCGACAATTAGCAAAAGCCCTAGAAAATATCAGTTTGTTTTATTTTTAATCTGGTAACTTGATAGGTTAGATTTCTTCCTGCCACCAATTTATGTGACGGCTCAGAAAGCTTAGCACGCAGGAGAAATCCTTCATTGCTGAGGGTAAGGTACGGTGTTCTGCAATTATACACATTTTAAATTAAACCTGCTCCAACTCTTGGGTGCCGGCGCATTAGTGCTGCCTCAGAGAAGACAGCTCTATGTCCTCATGTCTTCATGGTCTCAGACAGGTACAAAATTCACTGTAGCCCAGTGAGCGGCATTGGTTTAGCAGGACAAAGGGATCATGGGTTTGGTCTGCCTTTTGGTGTGACATCTTTATTTGTCCTGTTCAACCAGTTCTTGAAAATTAGACTGCAGA